TTGTATGAACATTATTTCATAATGACATTAAACACCCTGCAACTATTTCTTTGACTGTTATTTTCATAATTCTAAATACATCGCAAATTAACAAAAACGTTAATCATCCAATAACAGTAACAACAAAACCATAAACCATCCATCCAACCAATCACAACAACACAACAACAACGACGACGACATTAATTTTCAAAGTTATTCATAAAAGTTGCATAAAAGCGTCGAATGCTTATCCAGTTCAAGGTCTGCCTTAATAGATACATTTCAGAAAATGACATCAACATAAACATCAGTAGATCGCAATCAAATATTAACAGAAATAAAAACATTAACGTTTATTTTATTAACGCATTTAAAACATCAAAAAATACAACAGCGACGAAAAAAATATCAACTCCATGAATAAAGCTGTGTAGAAAACAGCAAAAAGACATTTAATGGCATCAAGAAAATATTTACATTACCAGTTATAATATTAACAAAAACGCTAACAATAACATTAACATCAATAGCATCAACAACAACAACAGTCGCTGCTAGATAGGCAACAACGCATTGACAACGATGACAAATACAACACAACAACAACAAACATCAACAAAAACATTAATAATAATAACAACAACAACAACAACATTAATAACAACAACAACATTAATAACAACAACAACATTAACAACAACACAGCACTCAGTCCACCAAACAAAAGATCACTCTAGCAAAAATATTCAATAAATAATGCATGCCTAAGAATAGGAAGACAGAATGGATGGATGGATGGATGGATGGCTGGATGGATGGACGGACGGACGGATGGATGGATGGATGGATGGATAGATGGATAGATAGATGGATGGTGGTTGAGTAGATAGATTAAATGAACAATTTGATAAGTTGATTAAAAAACAAATTGTTAAAAAAATACAAAATACAAACGAATATTAAAATTAATGTATAATTTTGCAAATAACCAATGATAAATCGAAAAAATGAATGAATGAACAAATGAACAAACAAACGAACGAACGAGCAAAAAAACAATCAAACAAACAAACAAACAAATAAATGACTGCATGTATATAACAAAAAACAAGAGAAAAAAATGATCACTATTCGAAAATCTGTTAAAAATGTGCTAAAGAATGATCGAATGAGGATATAAATAGTTCGGATCCTGATGTAACGATAAAAGAACTCATGGATAAATTGATGGATAAAAAAATGGATATATATCAATATAGATAGATAAATAGATAGATTGATTGATTGATAAATGAATGAACAAAATGATTGATAGATCGATAGATAATTTTCCCTAAAATGACAACGAAATTACAAAAAAAAAACATAAAACTAAGACAATGTCAGCATTTTAAAAACAATAACATCCCATTATTCACAATTACAACAACAACAATAACAACAACAACATTAGAAAACAGCAACAATACTACGACAATATCAACAACAACAGCTACTGCAACAACCGAAACAACAACACATATAAGAGAAATAAGATTTGTCATCATTTGTCATTATTAAATAATCACTTTGTTTTCAGGTTGAAAGTTTTTAAAAATACAATTAATGTCGGGACAAAAAGGGGAAAGATTATTATCTCAACATCCATTCCCAACAACAACAAACAAACAACAACAACAGCAACAACAACAACAACAACAGCAGCAACAACAACAGCAACAAACAACAACAACAACAACAGCAGCAACAACAACAACAACAACAACAACGAATTATAATGACTTCATCCACCATCAACAATTGAAAAGGGCAAAAAATTGTCAAAAATGGCCCAAAAATAATACACGAAATATTGTTTGCTACGAAAACAATACAAGCCCTTTAATACTACTTGCAAATAGTAATGCCAATACTACTTCTTATTGAAAAAGGTTGTTGTAATGGCTAGCAGCTTGGCTATAAAGTTGCAATAGCCAGGTTCAAACGCAGAAAGAATCGCCTTATGACATGGTTTGTGTGTGATTTGTTGATTTACGTGCTTAAATACACTGTGTGTTTCTTTATTGTTGGCGATTCTGAGAAATATTATAGAGAATGAGAAAGAAGGAAAGAGAGAAAGGGAAAAGAGAGAGAGAGAGAGAGAGAGAGAGAGAAAGAGAGAGTTATAAAAAAATTCTGAAGATGTTTGAAAATGATGTTTGAGATGTAAGAAGAAAAAAAAACAAATAATAATCACTATTTTTAATATTATCCTTATCGCAACGCACTGCAGCGTACAAACGTTACTACGAGATGATGAAGATGAATATAGAAACTTTGTTAGTTTATATTTTGTTAGTTTAAATAAAAGATGATAAGATATGTTGGAATGGAAATTGAAACATGAAAATTCTAAGATGTGGTGATTATGATGATGGTGACGACGGTGATGATGATGATCGCTGGTACTAACTTTGATCCTGGCTGACGAGTTGCAATGCATTAAAGGTTTATAAAAAGTAATAAAAGCAACATCACTTCTGGCGAATTTTATGTAGCTGGTGATGATGACGACGAGGATGACGATGATGATAATAATGACGATGACAATGATAATGATGGTGATAACGACAATGATGATAATGATGATGATCAAAATGATGATGATGATGGTGGTGGTGATTTGTAATGCTGTCATCATCATCATTGTATCTCATAATCCACAGACACATCATCATCATTTTTTAAAACATCATCATCACAAACATCGTCATTATCTTCTTCTTCATCACCGTCATTATCATCAAAACTAACATCATCATTATCATTATCTTTTTCTTCTTCTTCATCGTCATCATCAGCTTTGCATCAAAAAGTTTAATAAGCATTAAGCGGTGGTCAAATGATAATACTTACTTGGCGAAATTTCCAATTAAAATAATTGGAATTTTTATACAGGGATCATTTTTTTTCTTTTACGTAAAAGGAAAATAAATAATAAAAAATATTATAATAATAAATTAATTAAATATAATAAAATTATGAATGAATAAAAATTAAAACAATAATAATATAAACAAAAACAAATAAAATTTTTTGGAAAATGTAATGAAAGAGACAAAAAAATGAAATATCATCGTCATTATCATGATTGTTAATATCACTATCGTACCATCACCATCATCGTCATCTTCATTATCACGATCCTCTTTCTCATCATCATCATCAAAATCATCAGAATTTTTTTATTTTTATAAAAAAAAGTTCAAAAAACGAAAAAATTATTTAATTGAATGTTGACAGTGGGAATAATATAAGCTGGCTGGCTGGTAGGCTGGCTGGCTGGTTGGTATTTAATGGGTATTTCTGTTGTATATTTGCTCGAATATTAGGTATTTTTATTTCATATGTTTTTGTATTAGATTCTTTGTATACATATATATGTAAATATTGTATGTATGCCAGTATGTAATGTTGTTTACAAATATGTGTTTGCACTGTATACTGTGCGTGCTTATAAGTGTGTTGGCTGGTCGTGCGTTTGTGTATGCACTATATTTTGCGTATGTACGTACGTGCATGTATGTGAGTATTTGGATATATGTATATATATATATATATATATATATATTTTTTGGTAACAGACTGTTGTTAACGCAACATTTCAAAAATTCAACACTACTTTCAACATTGTTCAACTTTTGTATATTTCTTTTTAATTTATTAATTTCAGAGAAATTAGACGTTTTATTGTTTTTTAAAAAAATTTTATTAAATAAATTTACAAATAGCTATTTCGAGTTATAAATAACTCATCTTCAGTGCAGTATATATAAGGTATGTAAGATATTTGATATAAAGGAACAAGTAATTATTAATTTATATAAATTATTTAATTAAAAATAATTCCAATATATATATTATATGTTAATAATATATATATATATATATATATATATATATAAGTTAGTACATACGTATTTGTGTGCGTATTATGGGTACATTATGCGTATTTGTATGCGTAAGGTGCGTACAAGATATATCCAGATGTAGAAAGATAAAGTGGGCAAGAGCAATTAACGCGTATTTGTATTCTTGTACGTTCTCACTTCAGTGGTATTTTAAAAGTGATTGATTGCTTCTATTGTTTGATTGCTTGCTTTTTTGCTGTGTTTGTACGTTTTCATCTGGTACGTTTGTCTGTTTGTTTGTTTGTTTGCTCGTTCGTCCGTTTGTTTGTTTGTTTTGTCCGTTTGAATGTCTGTTTGCCGTGCAACTATGTTTTGTTCACTTTTAACGTGCATTCAATATCATTTATATATATATATATATATATATATATATATATATATATATATGTTGGTAATAGACCATAATTTTTACAATATTCTATAAATTCTACCGTATGTGATTGATTGCTTCTATTGTTTGATTGCTTGCTTTTTTGCTGTGTTTGTACGCCAAACATTCGGTAGAATTTATAGAATATTTAAAATATATATATATATATATATATATATATATATCATATTTATATTATCAACAATAATCATCAGAACGACAGCTGATATACACTCATACATACACTTGAAACTATTATGTAAAAAACTACTGATAAACACACACACAAACACACGCACAAACACACGTGCGTGCTCACGCACAAACACACTCACACGCACGCAAAAACATATCCACACGCAATATAAAAAGTTAGTTGCGTCGCTCGCCTTCTCCATTCGATCTGGTGTTCAGTCGGAAAGAGGCTGTTGGAGAATGATTTTAATGAGATAATTTTTGTTGTAGTTGAAGTTGTTGGCGCTGTTCAAAGAGGATGCGAATTTTGTTATGTAATTTAATTAATATTTTCTGATTTCATATTCAATTAATTAATTTTAATTGTTTAACTCTTTGACGGATTAAAAGAAATATTGCTATATGTCTTTAAATTTACAATTGAAACGAAAAAGTTAATTAATTAATCAAATTTAATTTAAAAAAATAAATAAAAATTAATAAAAACAAATAAAAAATTAAATATGGAAATAATTTTATTCGTTTATCTCTTCGTTTGTATTATTCATTTTTCTCGTTCCGTATCACATTCAGGTAGGTATCATCATCACCACCACCACCATCATCATCATCATCACCATCGTCATCATCATCATCACCACCGTCGTCGTGAGTCACGTGATCAACTGCGTCAGCCAGCCAGTATTTTTATTGGCCCTTTAATTAACAATAATTTGACGTCATCAATACCATGCATTTAAATAATTGTGGATTGCAGTAACGTTAATAATATCATATGAGCAATTGTAAAGATAATAAACAATGTTATTGTTACTATTAATTTTCATAATTTTGATCAACGTTTTTTTAATGTTAATAAAATTATTTTAATAAATATACGTACATGTCACACACACACACTCACAGCTCACACACACACACACACATCATATATACGCATTCGCACACAAACAAACCAACAAACGTACACACACTCACACACACACACACACACACACACACATACATACATACATACACACAGTTTTTTATGACAACTCTTTCGAAGAGGTATGTCAGTGGGAATCATTCAGACCGCAGTGTCCAAAGAATGACCACGTCATACAGGTCAGTTTTGTTAGCAGGCATTTATTTATGGTTTTATCTTTTTTATATTTGTATTTTGTTCCATAATTTTTATGTATATTTTTCATGTAAATTTTCTCTTATTATCATCGTTTGGTTGAGAGTAATTACTTGATAGTCTTTTTGGAAAAAACGCTAAAACTACACAAATTCCAGTACATCAAACACAACAAATAAATATATACACACGAACATACGCAAAAAAGACAATCGCATACACATACTCACGATTACTACTAATCCACCTGAAACACACACGCACGCACATTAACCACACATACACATAAACAAACACACATACATAACAAAGATCACAAACAAACACACATACATAACAAAAATCACAAACAAACACACATACATAACAAAGATCACAAACAAACATACATACGTAACAAAGATCACAAAAGCCTACTTCGGCCGCATGAGATCCGGAAGATGTTTGCAGCCGTCGGTCAACTACGTCAACGACATGATCGGCTGCAACAGTGACGTCACACGGATCGCGGACGCCAGGTGTTCCGGTAGGACTTCTTGCGTCATCGCCATTCCGGATAAGGAACTGGACAACCTGACGTCGTGTAGGGCTGACCTCAAGTCATATCTCATGATCAGCTACAAGTGCATTCAAGGTTGGTTGGGTTGGGTTGGGTTAGGGAGGGGTCATGCCAGGATCCAGGGTCGAGTTAAGGTAGAGAAAGGTCAAATGATTGTTAGACTTAGAGTTGAAAATTTTACTTGTTGAAAATAATAAAGATGATCATGGAGTTGCATGAATTTCTGAATAATTTTTTTTACCTACGGTAAAGTTATTATATGAGGAAATTTATCAAATACAAATATTGCAATTATTAAATGGCAATCATTAAAATTCAAGAAAATATTTGATAGATCTAAAAGACCGCCAATAAAAAATGAAAAATGTTTAGTCTAACTAAACGATACGCAGTCAAACATCTGCAACAACAACATAAACATCACAAACAACGACTTAAACAAACATCTCCATCAACAAACATAAACGCATTCACAAAATCCAGAATGTCACGAGTAAGCACGTAGAGCCGTTAAATCATCAGGTGCTTTCTATGAGGTCCGTTCTAAGTAAACTTGAGTCACAATTATCAACCAATCACACGCCGATAATAAACTTTCAGAATTCAAACATCAAATTTAATTACTTAACTGTATAATAGTTGATTAATTGATTATTTATTTATTTAATTAATTAACTATTTAATTAATTAATGTTATAAAGATGATAAATTCATAAAAATATTACTAAGCATCAGTAAATACATATGCGTTACCGATTTTTTTTATCAACATTTGTTTATTTATGTGTTATTATTATTTTATTGTTATTATATATTATTGCCGTGATGTTATTTAAGCTTGCCAAAAACGCAACGACAGTAGACGATCGTTAAATGAAGCGATAACGAAGGAATGCATTGTTTGACAAGAAACTTCAATTTATCTCGTCATTTTGCGTATGCGTGTGTGTACGTGTGTGTGCAAGTGCATGCACGTATATGTATGAGTGTGTGGTGTGAGTGTATATATATGTGTGTGTGTGTGTGTGTGTGTGTGTGTGTGTGTGTGTGTGTGTGTGTGTGTGTGTGAGGTGTGTGTTCTCATTTCACAAATACGTGACTAGTTAATGTGTGTATGGCATTTTTTATGTTCTTTTACTAAGATATACATAAATGGATATTACTAATATGTACGTACACTCTAAAGCACACGCATAAAAATGCACGAACATAACCATAACATGTTTGTATATGTGCTGATATATGTTTGTATATGCGTCTCTGTATCTGTATGTGTGTTCATCTACACATGTGTTTGTTACATGGAGAAGCAAGCTCGTTATTTCAAGTATTTTTACATGAATTTTGTTTTATAATTTCGTGTCGTTTGTGTGTGCTGAAGTGTTTTTTATTTCTAAGTAAGAAGGTAAGTGTGCGTACTTGGCATGTACAACAAACAAATTCATTGTATATGTGTTTCTGATTATATGTGTTTTTGTGTGTTTGTGTGTCTGTGTTGTGTGTGTGTTGTGTTTGTGTGTGTGTGTGAGTTTTAGTTTATAAATTGAGAAATAGACAAATGCAACTAAAAACAATACAATACAAGATAAAAAACACGTACATTTATGTATGTCTTTCTGTGTGTATTTATGAATAAATGTGTATTTGTGTGTGTATACCTGTGTATTTGTTGGTACAGACGTGTGTATATTTGTCAAAAGAAAAGAAGAAGCAAGCAAATAAATAAGAACGCCACGGTGATCAAAGATGAACCATCAATCATTATGGAATGCATTTTTACATTTTAGATAATGGTCCTTTGATTTATTCTCCCATTAGAAACTTTTGTATGAATACCAGCCAGCCCACGATAATACTCGTGTTGGTATCATTCTAAATAATAATTCATGTAAGTGTATATTTGTATACACAGTGTAAATGATCTTTGCTCTGCTAAATATTATATTATGCATAATTTATTTATTATGTGTTTGTTTGTTTATTTACTCTTTCATTTTTTTTATACTTTCATTCAACATTTTGGTTATTTTTTTATCATATCCATCTTTTTATCATCTCCATTCCTTTCCCTCATTCGTCACGTGCATCGTCAACTCAACACTATGAAAACGTTCGTTTAACATGCGGTCCGGTCCGATTATAAACTCAAATATTAACTAGTGGATTTTTGGTTTGAAATTTTCTCGATCAAACTTAACAAATCAGCAACGACAATCAACAAAACAAAAGAACGACAATCAACAAAACAAAACAACACAGCAAGACATACATGCCTGTCAACGCTACTGCTACTGCTGCTAACGTTGAGACCACGGATGTAAAACGGAATGCAATGAAAAACCAACCATCTTAAGTTGCAAAGTAACAAAAAACACAATAAGCACCTATAGAAGCAAAACAACGCCATTCAGTCTAGGTTTCTTTAATTGTAAAATTGGAAGATTATTAATTATTCCGTACTATCTACTGAGAACAAATTTTTGAGTCAAAAGTAGAGGTATCTGTAGCTATTTCATTTAAGCCTTAAGAGAAGCGTTGCTACAGTTTCGCTACTGCTTAAGGAATGTAGCTATTGGCAACTCTGGAAAAACAAACAGCAAACAAACAAACAGTGGTACAAACAAGTAGACCATGAAAGGAGAAAATATTGAAGATCTTGTGAAAAACAAAGATCAACAATTTAGCATTTTAAAAATCATTCCATTCCACAAAAACGGTAATTAATCTAAAAAATTGTTATCACTTTTGGATTTTAATAATCAATCCTCTGCCTCAAAACACCAACAAAACAAACAAACAAACAGCAACGAACAATTAAATGACGTAAAAAACATCACTTAATCATAGCATTTGAAGACACGCATGCATACCACATAAACATCTTGTATAATAATAATCAATAGCAGAATTCGCCAAATGCTTCGTCTCAATTCAATTACCTACTCTAAGTGGAATGTCATGGGATGTCCTGGAAAAGCCAGGTTCATACTACACACACACGCAAACACAAACACACCCACACAAGTTAAATAAAATTCGTAAATTGTACGTAATGAATGTTAAAATTTTATCATTTACTTAAGGCAATTAAAACCTCATACAAATATTATGTACGAATGATACATGGTAATCTTCACAATTGTTTTATAATGGCTCCGTGTTTTGAATTTGAGATTGCAAAAATAACATTGAGAATGCAGGTAGTACCTGATATTATTATTAATACCGCCATAAAGTGTACTTTAATATGGAGTAAGTGTTTTAAAAGTTGTGTATTTTTAAATACACAAATATTTAGGTACGCATTGTTTTTTTGTACTGTTTTGTCTCTGAAAATTAGTTAGAGCCTTAATTTATTTATATATACATGAATGTACATATTTCTAGAATGATGGTTAGTTTTGAATTTAGCTCCATAAACATAATACCGTAATTTGTCATGATGTCATTTCTTTGTTTTCAGTCTCGCTGTCAACTTCTCTATCTGTCCCATCATGCCGAATGCTTCCTCCATCGATTTTGAATTTATTTTGAATTTAAATTTGTTTTCAGAATGATTTATTGCGTTCTTAAAACTGTTCATCTAATTTCTATGTTCATTCCTTTATTTTAATTTTTTTTTCTTTCGTTCATGGCTAATGTTATTTTTGTTTTTTAAATTTTTTTATTTATTCATTCGCTTCATCCATTTCTTTTATTACCATCCATCTATTCATCCAACCCTCCTTTTAAACAATAGGTCACATTTTTGTTATCAGTGAAACTTAATAACGAAAGTAGGCATTTTTTACGAACCAGACACACATTCACACGTGCACATACACACCTACTAAAATGCACTAACACACACGCACACACACACGCACGCGCACACATACTAACATCGATTTGAATGTGATTTATGAAATATTCGCATCGACGTAGCAATTGCTGGATTTTATGATCTACGGCTTGTTAATGTTTTAGTTGTTGCTGTTAATGTTTTTGTTATTTGTCTTGTTGATTATGTTGTTTTATTAGTGTTATTACTGATGTCGTATTTGTTGATATCATTAGTCATGATGACGTCACTAGGTGTGTTGTTGTTATTAATGTTTTGCTGCATTTTTTGTCGCGATGGTTGTTTTACATGATGTCTTTGTAAATTCTCGAGATGTTATTTTTTTATTTAAGAATTAGAATCAGTAGTCGTTGTCGTCGTTGTTGCTGCTGTTGCTGAAAACAGTAAAGACATGAGCAAGCCTCGTGGTCTTAGGACAGTCGGTAAGTTGAAGAATCACAGACGTGAACAGGGATGGAATGATAAAGTTTTTAAAAACTCCCACCGCGGTACAAGATGGAAGTCCAGTTCATTCGGTGGGGCCCTCCATGTTAAGGGGAAAGTTTTTGAAAAAATTGGTGTTGAAGCCAAACAGTCAAATTTTGCCATCAGTAAATATGTGAGAGTTCAGTTGATCAAAAATGGAAAAAATATCACCGCTTTTTACAATGGGATAGTTGCTTAAACTTCATTGAAAAAAACGATGATGTTCTGGTAGCTGGATTCGGTCGTAAAGGTCACGCTGTGGGGATATTCCCGGAGTTCTTTTCAAGGTCGTCCAAGTTGCCAGTGTCTCCCTGTTGGCCCTCTACAAAGGCGAGAAGGAACGATCCAGATTATAAATTAATTGTCACCATGTTCCACATTGATGCTTTGTTTGATACCGACGTGAACTGTTGCTGATGTAGTTGTTATTGTTGTTGTTGCTGTTGTTTTTGTTGTTTTTATTGATGTTGTCACACAGACACACACCATACACACACAACACACACACACTCACACACACACACACACATTACATCCACAATAAACATCAGATATATTGTATAAGTACATCTTCCTTACACTTTTAAATATATCAACACGTTGCTATTGATCTGAAGAGAGAATTAGAAGATGTTATTTAGAAGCAAGAGTCCATGGATTATCCTATAAAATGTGACGCTACAACACGACATGGAATGAATGGAAAAACTTATTCAGTGACATATATATATATATATATATATATATATATATATATATATATATATATATACCATAAATTATGGTAAAAGACCATAAATAATGCAGTAATTTGTGAAAACTACCGACTTTCTAGCGTTGGATAGTTTTTTTTATTACAAGATTGTTAGAGAATAAGGAATGAGAGAGAGAGAGAGAGAGAGAGAGAGAGAGAGAGAGAGAGAGAGAGAGAGAGGGTGACTATTTTATGAATGCCTGCCTGGCATACGAGAGTTGCAGTGGCCGATTTTGACTTTAAGGAAATCCTTGCCTTGTATAAATTTACAAGTGTATGCTTATCCAATTCAAATGTATTTACATGTACATTTAAATACAATGCAATAAAAAATATTATTACTACATTTCATTAATGCTATTTTAATTTTTTTTAGGTATTAAACTGAAAAAATTGTCATTCAAAATGTATTTCGACATGCATGTATATATAGGGTAGGAGAAAACTAGCTGAGTTTGTTATTTGAAGTTTTAATGGACATGCTATGTTCCTACGTTGCTGCCCGCTCTCTCTTTCTCTCTCTCTCTCTCTCTCTCTCTCTCTCTCTCTCTCTCTCTCTCTCGTTCTACGATTCGGTCGATTCCGGCAGATTTTCCTTTTTCAATTTTTTTTTCTCTTTCACATTTCACATTTTTCTTTTCTTTCATTCTCTTTTGCTTTTTGTATTATCTTGCTCTCTCTCTCCTCTCTTTCTCTTTCTTTCTCTCTTTCACTCTCTTTCTCTCCCTCTCTCGTTCTGATGACGACGACGACGACGATGATAACAAGGACGAACGGTGGAATTAAATTAATAGCCAGGCAGAGGATGGTGATTGCAAGAAGATTGACGTACCAACAAAAATGATGATGACGATGATGATGATGACGATGATGATGATGATGATGATATGAAAAAGAGGAAGATGATGATGATGATGATGACGATGACGATGACAACAATGTAAAACAAATAATAATAAAGATAATGATGGAAATAATAATAGTAAATGTTGTTATTATTCTTATCAGTACACATCTAAACAACATGCTCTGTTATCAACCGAAAAATGATTAATACTCGTTATAAATTCCACTTATACTCTCAGTTACATAATTACTAAATGGTAACTATACTAACTTTTACAACTGAAATTACACAAAAAATTACTACAACTAATAGTAATAATAATTGATAAATGAAGTTAACTATTAATTATCATATTACTACAACCTAACAACTCATTAACAACAACAACAACGACAACACGACAACACAACAACAACGACGACAACGACGGCGACGACAACAGCGTCAAGACAACAACAACAACAAAAATACAACAACAACAACAACAAAAACAGTGATCATAATACCATAAAATAAATAGTTGTTTAATGGTCTGTCTCTTCAAAAGGTGTATTCCCATACAGGCCATATTGTTAAATATGAGAAGATGTAATGGAAATTAATATGAATAAGTATTCAATGTGCTGAAATGTTCTGCATTTGTTTCTGGGGCATCTGGACATTGTTCAGAGAGAAAAGTCATATTAAATACTAGTTAGTTATATAGGATAAAATGGTAAAATAATCACCAAATAACCATAACACAACTGCTTTTTTAGGTATATACAAATTATTGAATAATAAATACACACACGCACACACACACACACACGCATATATATATATATATATATATATATATATATATATATATATATATATATGCGTGCGTAAGTGTATAGATATAAATATATATATATATGAATATATATATATATATATATATATATATATATATATATATATATATATATATATCTTTGAAGTTTTCAATGAACTGTGTGATTGGCATTAGAAGTTATTACTTACGTGCACACTACATGGCACTTTTTGCTCTGATGAGGATGATGATGATGATGTTGTCGTTGTTGTTGATGATGATGTTGTTGATGATGATGATGTTGATGACGATGATAACGATAGCCAACTATGTCGTTAATGAAGCTGCCGTCATAGCGATGGCGAGGCGCCGACGTAAAACATCCCCCTTTAATCAACATTAAATGTAGAAAACTCAATAAGTGATGACGTCATAAACACATGCTGTCACGTGGTTATTAATAAGGGAAGGTAATGAAAGCGTCGGCATCAACAGAAGTTATGCTACTTTGTGTGGGGAGGTGTGTGTGTGTGTATGTCTGCGTGTGTGTGTTTGTGTATGTGTGTATGTCTGTATGTGTGTACGAACGTGTGTGCGAACGTGTGTGTGTGTATGTGGTATGTGTGTGTGTGTGTGCGTGTTGTGTGTATTTGTGTGTGTGCGTGTTGTGTATAATAAACAGGTAGGTATATGAATGAGCATTTATTTCATACAAAGGGACAGGACTGATCCTCTAGTCCCATGCTTTTCTTCAAAATGTTCAAGTCATATATTTTCTGGTAAAGAAATGCCAAGTTGTTTATGTGGCTACAGTTGAGATTTTCATCATCATGAATCTAAACCATTACTTACATTCACATTTGAGCGTTTTGTTGAATAATAATAACAAATATTTTTGGATTTTGTGATTTCAAACATAATGTCGAAGAAAATAATTTTTTATCATTCATGTAACAAAAAATTAAAAAAGGTTAAACGATTGAAAAGTAAAAATAAAAATACATTGAAAAATAGAGACGAAAAATTCACATATAAATTTTTTTTAAAGTAACACGCTGACAGAAACGTTTGAATGCAAATTCGCTCATGTACAAGCCGTTATGAGGATCATTTGTGACGTGTAACTGCTACTGCTACTTCTACTGCTACATCCAATTAATAATAATTAAGATGCATTGCCTTCAGTGTGACTTCCTAAAACATTTTCAATTAGAGAATTTAGTTTTTGTTTGTTTTTGCTGGCAGGAAACATTTGAGGGAGTTTGCGCGTGCGTGTGTATGTGTGCTTGTTTGTGTGTGTTTGTGTGTGTTTGTTTGTGTGCGTGCGTGCGTGCGCGCATGATGCATTATGCATGAATTCATTTCATTGAATGAGACGACATTCTCGAATGCATTAAACAATAAATACAGCGTATATAAATCCAACATAGATCATATTTATGCGTTGTTGTACTCCACTCATACGTGAAGATTCATCTACATTATACGCATACTTGCAGGATACGCTTATATGTGTGTGCGTATGTTTGTGTGTATGTAAGCGTGTTTGCATGCTTGTATGTGCGCGTATGTTTGTGTTTATGCATGTGTTCAATAATATTGTAAAAAACTACATATAAAATGAATTTTATTTATACAATTTTTTTTTGTTTTTTAATCGACAACGAGTAAAACAAAGTGTAAAAAAGATTTGCTGTTTTGTAATTAATTTATTCTTTTGCACTTTTTTTTGTTTGGTTGAATATTTTTTGTTTGTATACGATATGCTGCTTTGTTTTGTCCTCACATAAGCACTTTTTCCTATTTATCTTACTCTTTCCTCAATTATTCTACCATTTTTTATTTGTTTTTTACGTGTTAATTTTCAAATTCTTTTAGTTAATTTACTTGTTGATTTTAATTCATTTGTTATTTGTTTTACTTTATCACACATTAATATAATTGGCAGAATGATTTATCGAGCTTGTATTTTTCAAAAGTGTTCACCGTTACGAAAGTCGAAAATTTGAAAATTTTTACCAGGAGTATGAAAATTTTTGATCAGAAAATTCAAAATCACCGAGTTGTTGTTAGTACCAGTTATTATTTCTTCAATTGTAAATTATTAACGGCAACGTTAAAAAATCTGGCAACAAAAATCTTGGGTTTATTTATTATGCAAACACACCACACACACACACACACACCAAACACACAAACACACACACACACAAACTCACACACACACAAAGGCAGTGCTCAAAAAGTTTGTTTCTTGGGTGCAATATTTTTTGAAATTTCTTACCGTAAGTTGTTTGTTTGCACATGAACGAATATGATTAACTAATTCTTCTTCGCCTTACATTATTACTACACTAGAGTTGCAGTAGCTGCAGTTGTGCAACATCAAGTCAGCGCTTGTTTACAAATTTTACGTGCAGCCCGGTTGAGTCAGTTCGTCTGCATATATCACCTGGAGAAAAAGTTTGCTAGCAGCTTTTTGAGTATGTAAATTTTGAATTTGGTTGCTGGTACCTTTGTCGGGATTTCATTGGTTGTTGGTGTTGATGTTGTCAATAATGTCGTTGTTGTTGGTTGTGTGTTGAAATGTGTTGTAATGGTGATGAATGAGGAAATGGTAGAGTAGTATGGTGGTTGTTCTGGTATTAAAAGTGCACTTGCATTTGCAAAGATTGATCTGGATACCGGTGATGAAAAAAATTATAGTGGTGAAAAAATGATGAAGAAAATAATGATGACTATGACATGATGGTTGTGACGACGATGATGATAAAGATGATGATGACGATGATGATGATGACAATGTTGATGATGACATTAAGACAGTGAGGGCAACGACAATTATTACGGTGATAGCAAGGATGTTACTGATGACAACGATCATGATGATGACGACGACAAAGATGATGATAACG